GCTGTAGTGAAATGACGACTAAAGGGAGCAAGTTGATCAAGAATGTTTGTGATTGGTGGTTTGTTCTGTGATCGACAGGTTTGTTAGCTGCTCGTGCAAAGCTGCGTGTCGGCTCCGTATCCAAAAACGTTTTAATTGACCTAAATTATATTTTATATATATCCACTTTTGTGGATTGTTTAAGAATAAGAACAGTGTGACATTTGTAAGTTTAGCAAACACACCAAAAGCGCTGTCCACGGCGCTTAATTTAATTTGCGTTACTTCACATCGCACGTCCTGCAATGTGACTATTGCATGTGCGTACATTGCGATGAAGATGCCGAAATGATATATCATGCAGCCCTAGTTTGGACCCTATGTGGGGTTTATAGCAGGCTTTAGATCAGTGTGCAGCACAGGTCTGGACCCTATGTGGGGTTTATAGCAGGCTTTAGATCAGTGTGCAGCACAGGTCTGGACCCCATGTGGGGTTTATAGCAGGCTTTAGATCAGTGTGCAGCACAGGTCTGGACCCTATGTGGGGTTTATAGCAGGCCTTATATTAGTGTACAGCACAGGTTTGGACCTTATGTGGGGCTTAAAGCAGAGGTGCAGTTGGAGGGGATACAGGGGACACATGTCATCCCCAGTTATATAAGGACCTTGATCTGCCCCCCACTTTTGAGAGGGAAAATTGCAGGCAGTCCGCAGGTTATGAACAAGATTCGCTCCCTAGGTTTTTGTAAGTCAAATTTGCAAGTAAATCAGAAATATGACAAATCAGTACATAATAATAATACTAGTAATTATTATTATACTGTAATAATAAAAGAAATTACGTATAGTACTGTACTTCTGGCTGACAGACCACTAAAGACAGGCAGTGTTTTCATAAGCATCACAAAGCAGTGCATGCGTTCATTATCACGGACCATTGTATTTAAACCAAATTTTTAAAGTGATATGCATTAGGGCAGTCCATTTGTAGGTACGAGTTTTCTGTAAGTCCGATGTTGTTAACTGGGGACTGCCTGTAATAAATAAATAAAATCCCTAAATAGGGTTGGATTTCTAAACGTTTCAACTCATCAAACTGTGTCGACCATCACAAACTACTTGACCAACTACAAACTATATGTCAGGTAAACATATCTTTATGTTATGAATATGTTTATATTAATTTCTATGGGAAAAATGCTAACGCTAACTATGACAACCTTAACCCCTACCCAACCATAACCATAAGTAACCAAGCAAAATACAAAAGTTTTTGCATTTTTAGTTTTATCATTGCAGTCATATATTTTTATTAAATTGAGCTTTTCCTTTTGGGGACCAGGAAAGGTCCCCATAAGGGAAAAAAAAACGGGTATTCATCATGTTGTTGGGGACATTATGTCCCCATAAGGTAAGGTACAGTATACCTGCTCTCTCACACACACACACACACACACACACACACCCTCCCACTCCCTCCCTTTATCTCCGTTTGTTGGTAGACAGAATAAAGTGTGCTCATTCCTATTAGCCTACACATGGCTTTAAAATTTTCCATTTCTGTGATGACCTACCGATTTAATGAAGGATAACTCAAACACGGATTTCACTTTGTAAAATACACTGCTCAAAAAAATTAAGGGAACACTTTGGAAACACATCAGATCTCAAAGGGAAAAAAAGTCATGCTAGATATCTATACTGATATGGACTGGGTAATGTGTTAGGTACAAAAAGATGCCACATTGTTTGATGGAAATGAAAAATATCAACCTACAGAGGGCTGAATTCATAGACACCCCGAAAATCAAAGTGAAAGCAGGCTTGTCCATTTTGCCGAAATTTCATTGCAGCAACTCAAAATCGTACTCAGTAGTTTGTTTCGCCCCCACGTGCTTGTTTGCATGTCTGACAACATCGGGGCTGCTCCTAATGAGACAACGGATGGTGTCCTGGGGGATCTCCTTCCAGATCTGGACCAGGGCATCACTGAACTCCTGGACAGTCTGAGGTGAAACCTGGAGGTGTCAGCTGGACCGAAACATAATGTCCCAGAGGTGTCCTATTGGATTTAGGTCAGGCAACTGTGGGGGCCAGTCAATGGTATCAATTCCTTCATCCTCCAGGATCTGCCTGCATACTCTCGCACCATGAGGCCGGGAATCGTCGTGCACCCAGAGGAACTCAGGACCCACTGCACCAGCTTAGGGTCTGACAGTGGGTCCAAGGATTTCATCCCGATACCTAATGGCAGTAAAGGCACCATTGTCTAGCCTGTAGAGGTCTGTGTGTCCCTCCATGGATATGCCTCCCCAGACCATCACTGACCCACCACCAAACCGGTCATGCTGAACAATGTTACAGGCAGCATAATGTTCTCCAAAGCTTCTCCAGACCCTTTCACGTCTGTCACATGTGCTCAGGGTGAACCTGCTCTCATCTGTGAAAAACACAGGGTGCCAGTGGCAGACCTGCTAATTCTGGTATTCTAATGCAAATGCAAATCGAGCTCCACGGTGTCAGACAGTGAACACAGGGCCCACTAGAGGGCATCGGGCCCTCAGGCCACCCTCATGAAGTATGTTTCTGACTGTTTGGTCAGAGACATTCACACCAATGGCCTTCTGGAGGTGATTTTGTAGGGCTCTGGCAGTGCTCATCCTGTTACTTCTTGCACAATACCGGCAGATATAGGTCCTGCTGATGGGTTAAATACCTTCTACAGCCCTGTCCAGGTGTCCTAGAGTAACTGCCTGTCTCATGGAATCTCCTCCATGCCCTTGAGACTGTGCTGGGAGACACAGCAAAACTTCTGGCAATGACACATTGATGCGCCATCCTGGAGGAGTCGGACTACCTGTGCAACCTCTGTAGGGTCCAGGTACTGTATCACCTCATGCTACCAATAGTGACACTGACTGTAGCCAAATGCGAAACTAGTGAAAAAACAGTCAGAAGAGATTAGGACGGAAAAATGTCAGTGGCCCCCACCTGTTAAACCGTTTCTGTTTTGGGGGTCGTCTCATTGTTGCCCCTCTAGTGCACCTGTTGTTAATTTCATTAACACCAAAGTAGCTGAAACTGATTAACACCCCCCTCTGCTACTTAACTGACCAGATGAATATTCAAGAAGTTTAGTTTACTTGATGCCATACTTTGATTAATAAGCATTCCTTAAATTTTTTTGAGCAGTGTATTTTATTTAAAAACATATATACATTGTGCTGAATGCAGTTTTGGTCACATGGACAAAAGCAGTATGCAATACAGGAAAAATGCAATCCGGAAAAAAACAAAGATCTATCACAGCGTTATTTCAAATAGCAAGCAATGAAAGTGGACAGAAATTCTATATAATCTATACCAGGTCTATGTTGGATGCAATTATGAACATATTTTTGTCCCATATTCTCTAATTTGTAACTGCAACTAAGCTAAAGATTTCATTTAATTTTGACCTAACATGAAATTATGTCTGTTAGAATTAAGCAGTAAATCTATGAATGTGTCCCCATATAATATGTAACATTACAATGTATTTATACTGTGGTTCAGTAAATTTGAACTTCCAACACACTGTGAAGAAGGATACATGTTGTTTAGGTTATTGTCCAATAGGCCATTTGTGGATGATTGGCAATACCAGACAGTGACTGGATGTATGTCGACCAGCGTCAGGGGGCATTTAGTGTAGAGAACCATTATCCCAAATCACGCCAAATCAAGCATGGCTGGATAAACTTCTAAGATGCTCATTCTTTGGGTTCCCCCAACTTCACAAATCTCTCTTGTGCTCCTAGTTTAAAACAGTCCTTTGATCAGTGTGCAGCACAGGTTTGGACCCTTGTGGGGTTTATAGCTGGTCTTAGATCAGTGTGCAGCATAGGTTTGGACCCTTGTGTGGTTTATAGCAGGCCTTAGATCAGTGTGCAGCACTGGGTTTTAACATCCTCATCCCCTTAAGTACAAGCTGTGCACTGGATGTGCGTGACCTTTAGAGGGACATGCATATATGCACAGAATTTCGTCTGGAATGCAGGGTGCCTCTCTCCTACTCCAGCCTGGCCTCCGCCTGGCCACCTCCTGTTGTCTTTGCGTGCAGAAATGAATGTTCCTGTGGGCCCTGCTGCATTTCCTTCCTGAGAGTCTGACCTTGAGCTGTCCCTCATAACAGATGTGACCCCTCCCACACAAATATCTTCCCCAGGCATCCCCAGCCTCCTGATTACGCCAACATTGCAGCTCCTGTCCAATAGGAACATTCTGTTAAATCGAGGGTTCCGTCACAGGAGTGATCGTGAAATAGGACCACCTGACTCCCATACCCTGCGTGCCATTTGCATGCTTTTCATTATCGTTGAATTGCACCACTACATATGCCACCACAAAGATAAAGATCAGTTTGTAGCTGTACTATGCACAGAACTTGCAGAATGCAGCACTGGTGGTGCCTGACCTGCCTGTGACCTGTTTGGTCACAAACAAGTAGTTTTATTTCGTCGCATGTAGTAGATTTCAAAATGAGGACCTCAAACATGGTGAGAACATCATCAATTGTGTAATATTACTGATAATGACTAACCTTTGAGCTCCACAAGTCTGTAGTGAAATTCATGTCAGTGATGTTACTTGTTAGATCCAGTGAATGTGTATAACACATCCACTAAGTAGTGCCGACTTGCGAACCTGTAATAATGTGGTAAGTGGTGAATGAAATTCCTTGTTTTCCACTATTGAAAATGGTTGACCATCCAGTGCAGTCATTTTCTTTATTTTAGCACTTATGCCTCCGGTGCTGCTAACTTTGAATACTGACTAAAGTCTAAATATCGGACAGGAATATCAGCCTAGATCGACACATAGGACTGACACTGATGTCCTGATTTCTAATGTAATCAATATGTTAACCACAATATCCTGCATCTGTAGTGTCTCTCTCATGTGTTGCTTCCATGACTTTAACATGGAATGTACCATCGGTGTGTCTGTGCTAATTGTCTGATCTGTTTCCCTCTTTTTAGGACATGGTGACTCAGAAGAACACAGTAAGTATCAATTCGGAGTAGGATCCCGATTTTCTGTCTGCTTGACCTGCAGTAAGGGACAGTTAAATCTATGAGTAATAGTGTACAGAATGCTGGGAATGGCTCCAGGGGACCTGTCATCTAACCTCAGCATTGCCCTGATATATTAATACCATCAGCGGCTGGATGATCCCTCCTACCGTGGTCAGCTCTACCACTGTGCATCCTAGACTAGGCCACCTAAGCCGGTAACAGCTGGTCAAGGTTTAATGGCAAGTGAACTACAACTGTTGCTATGCTGACAAGTTTGCCTGGATCGGGGGAGGGGGAGCTTTGGTTGTCATGGATAGGTATGTGGTAGCCACAGCAACTGGCCAGATCCCATGCCCATGGCCAGTTGGCACGAAGAGCGGATCCATGATCCAAGATGTTGTGGATA